TACCTTTGACACAACACACAATTATCGTCACATGTGCTTTTTTAACAAAGTACCGCTGTAATGGACATACGCCAACACTTTAACTTCACCTACATGAAATGCCTTGTATTTTCGTGCACTTGACACCCTTGCGCTGTTGCGAGCAGTTTGTCACTATCAGAACGCCATATAACAGGGCCACCACCAAACCCCACGCCAGCAATCTCTGGTTCAAGCACCACTAGCATTACGTCCGGCCAGTAACTGCCACTGCAATTGACATAGGCGTTTTCGATCTCTCATAGACATGGAGATACACTTGTGTATATGCGTGTATATGCTCACTCCGACTATCTCCCTTCCAACCGGCACAGAATGCGCTCCCTCGCGCAGACTCTGATCAACTGCAGGACGGCATATCCCCAGCCACAGCAAACCCCACACCAGACTCTTCTGGTACCAATACCATCAGTATCACATTCACCCCGAGCGTCATCAATAGCATATTCAAGCTCTATCCCTCTGTCAAGCACATGTACGCTGAAACGGTGCCGAAGAAGGTGTGTGTACGTGTGAGATATAGTGTGTGATCACCGTTGTACCCCACAATTACACTGCACTTGATATATACGTAGTTGGTATGTATGTTGTTGCGTGCATGTTCAAATTGTCCCTGTGTTTATTTGTATCGCGTATGTATGTAGTAGCAGGCATTGTGTGCGTGCGTCTTAGGTGTAGTATTGACTTCAATCGCTCACTTCAATTGTAGAGCTGTTGAAGGAGCGGGTCGAATTACTATTCATATGCACGTGTGAGATAATTTCGAGCTTACATTGATCTATGCCACGTATACATCACAGTATATAGGGTAATCATTTACATCCTATAGAATATAAATTAATACTGTACACGTATATATGTGTATGAAACAATATAGATTAGTTCGGGCAACTGCACTGTTCATGGTCGCAGTCCGCCCTGGAGAGATTATGTGAGTTATAGCCACTCTATTTGAATTTATACATATATATATATATATATAAATATATATATACATCTAAACATTCGTACTGTACATACATACCATGCACTTATATTATATACATGATCTATCTGTATATGCATCTGAACACACATCCCATGCACTTGTACCATATACATAATGTATCTAAATATGCATCTGAACACACATCCCATGTACTATATACATATTGTATCTGTATATGCATCTGAACATACATCCCATGCATTTGTACTATATACATAATGTATCTGTCTGTGTATGCATCTGAGCATACGTCCCATGCACTTGTATTTTATACATAATGCATCTGTGGATGTATCTGAACATACATACCGTGCTATTGTATTGTATTCATATTTCTCTTTACAATGACTACATACGTGATATTTAACCTATCAACTTGGCATGCCCATTCGCATGTGATTGCAGTACACCCCTGAGAAGTTCTGGGAGAAATATCTCCAGTCCCAGCGCATCCACGAACGCAATGCGCACCTCAAATCCCAACCCAAACAAGCCAGCAGCACAGAGGTTGATGTTTACGCACGGGCCAGGCAAGAAGAACTGAAATGTAAGAGACAGCACAAACGGGTGTGCAGTTGGGTTTTTAGTTTTAGTATGTATTCTTGGTCTGCTGCTCTGGTAAGTCTGTGTGCCTATGTTTGTGTTCGACCTGAAAATCAGTTGCTCTTCTCTGGTGCTGAACACATACCGCTGAAATTGGGACAACCCCCCGAAGATAGGTGTCTTATAAGTCAAATGACTCTCGACGTGTATAGGAATTTGAAATGCTACTTTTATATGCCTTGAATGTTGCAACAGCTTACAAGCGCAAGTTGAGAGAGAAGAGTAAAGAAATCGGAAACATGTACGACCTGAGGTCTGATAAAGTCGATGAGGTAAGGCATGACTAAATGCAGTTAGGGATGCAACTAGCCAGCAATCTCAATGCGTGACAATACATTATCTCTGGATTCGTGTATGCATTTTAACATCATTCTGTCCTCATAAGCTGTCGATAAGCTGACCAGAGCACAGACTCACTTGAGCGGCTACAGCGAGATATCGCGGTCAATATTTATAAATATACGATCTAGTGGTTGACATGTGTGCCGATAAGCTGACTGGAGCACATGCTTACTTAAGGGGCTACAGTGACATAATATGGACAATGCCTTCGCGGCTTCTGGTGTGCACCCCAGCCCATCGTCAAGGTGCCAGTGGCTTCCACACAGGCAGTCCTGTTGATTGATTGCTTGCTGTGCACGGGCCACTTCGACTCAAAGTATCAAACACTCCTGCTTATTTGCCCAGTACTACGCAGAGGATGAGCCCAAACAGAAGAATGCGCAGCAATCGCTCTTCTCCAAAGTCAATAGTCAGTCGGGGCTCTTTACAGATGTTTCAGACACAGCCTTGCCCGTTATCAGAGTTAAACGCAATGTGAGTCAGCGTTTGTTGTATGTGACATGGTCCTGTTTTATTGAACAAGAATACACTTTCTATCTTCTATCGTTTGTTGTATGTGACATGGACGTGTGTTTTTGAACAAAAATACACTTTCTATTTGCTATCGTTTGTTGTATGTGCCGTGTATGTGTGTCATCGAACAAAAATACACTTCCTATTTTTTATCGTTTGTTGTATGTCATTGCACTTAAACCCACTTTCTATTGTACTCATCGTCGTGTCGTGACTCTGGAAGCTCAGGAGTTAGTAGTGGTGTAACCACGTATGCTTTGTGTTTAATTTGTATTAAGTTGTGTGATTTCGGAGTCTTCCACGTGACACACGCTGTGAAATACTACGTAGTGTGGAGTGCTGCTGGGGACCTATACTTAACAAGCGACTGTTGCCATGGCAACGGTAGTCTTTCGGCTATCGAATGATATCCTGAACTGTGTGGCATAGCGTTCGTCTGAGTTACAGCAACCGCTCTTAAGTATAGGCTAATACCTACCATTAATATGATGTTTATGCAAATATCTACCATTAATATGATGATGTTTATGCACAAAGCTACCATCGATATGATGATGTTTATGCAAGTATCTACCATTAATATGATGATGTTTATGCACAAAGCTACCATCGATATGATGATGTTTATGCAAATATCTACCAATAATATTATGGTGTTCATACACAAAGCTACCATCGATATGATGATGTTTATTCACATATCTACCATTAATATGATGATGTTTATGCACATATCTACCATTAATATGATGATATTTATGCAAATATCTACCATTAATATGATGATGTTTATGCACATATCTACCATTAATATGATGAAGTTTATGCAAATATCTACCATTGATATGATGATATTTATGTACATATCTACCAATAATATGGTGATATTTATGCACATATCTACCATTAGTATTATGTTGTTTATGCACCTACATACCATTAATATGATGTTATTTATGCACAGATGATGTTTATGTAATATCTACCATCAACATGTTGCTGCTTATGCACATAACTACTATTACTATGACCATGTTTATGCTGTGGCTGTCTGTTTTCCATACGATTGTCCGTTTCGATTTCCGTTTTTTAATCAAAAAAAATTTCGTGATATTTCTAGCTTTGTTAGGGCGGTATTCTGCACATGTGGCTAGCACTGCAGACCCCACACTTTGTTGCACATCCATCCTATACATGGCGCATGTTTCCTGATAGAAAGTGTGACCAGCAGTTTGCGTCACGAGACCTGTTGGTACACTGTAGGTGACCCCATCGTTTAGCGGAATATCGCGATGTACTGAGGTATTTGAGTGTCTGTGGGTGCATGGAGGACGCGTACCCTCCTAGACCTGCACATAAAATAGACTGGATGTAGCCACTGGTCCGAAAGAAGTGGCATCGAAGTGGGTCTAATTTCTGCACGGTGAAAGACACTAATGTCCCTCAAACATTACCTACACAGGATTCAAATGCATCAGCGAATGAATCTGACGCAATCAGACAAGATGAAAAGCCCCGCAAAGTCCCTAGTGTACGTTGCTCAACACTCAGCATACCTGAAAGTGCCCGCATTTTCCCTATTGGTGCTTGCTTGTATAGCCAAACTCATGCCTCGTGGTTGTGTATACGAGGGTGTGTATGTAGACGTGGTTAAGCATGTTGTTATGTATTTACTTCATATAGCTGTGCAAGATTGATGCATGTTTAGACATCGCTACGGTTGTGTGTGCGCGTGGCTGAGTTGATGGTGGCTATTGTCTCGCCCACTATAGAGATTGTTGATATATATACACTAAGCTACCTGAGATTGTATAGATGTGTAAACACTAAGTAACTAGAGATAGAATAGATATATATATACACTATGCTACCTGAGATTGTATAGATATGTAAACACTAAGCAACCAGAGATTGTATAGATATATATACACTAACCTACCAGAGATTATATAGATATATATATACACTAAGATATCAGAGATTGTATAGATATATATACACTAGACTATCAGAGATTGTATAGATATGTATACGCAAAGCTACCAGAGACCGTATGTAGGTATATATATATATATATACTAAGCTATTTGGTTTGATCTTGCATATTCCTGGTGGATGTCATGAACTTATATACATAGATGTATATTTATATACAGTTACGATTTGCTGGCTTACGTTCACGTTATGTCTTGTTGACATACATTATATACTTACAGTTGCGTATCGTTGACATATGTCCGTATAGTTTTATTTTCGTCTCGTTGGCAAACGTGCATACGTACACCGTGACTCGGTACAATGGAATTATACTGTTTCGTAGTGGGCTTGCGCGATGCTTGAGATTTGGATTATATTAAAATATTGCAGAGTGGTGTTGGGTACATACTTGATGACTTTTCTTTCGGAAAATTTTCCGAATAAACGTAAGTCGCCTTTACGCGAACGGGGTGTTGTCCGTTGCTGGCATTATTAGTGAACGTCATGAAAGCATTGGAACATAGTGCACAATCGTGCCCATCAAAGTTCACAAAGCAAACCCATGGTTGTTGTAGGTATATCACATGATCACATTGCTCCGTGTGGTTTTATGGTAAACCTTTTTTTATTCAAACTTATATCAACTAAAATTATCAGATGACCTCCGAGGCAATATTTACATCTATAATCACACTTAGGACGTTGGTTGTACGCATGTCACGAACAGTTCTACGTACAATACAGACTGCATGATAAATTTGGCAAGCACTTGGAACACGAGAGCACTTAGAACACGAGGATAGACACCATCGCCTGACCATCATGTTTTTATCTTGTGCTATAAATAGAATATTGGCAGCCACTACAGGCAATTGGCTGTGCTGGATGATCTCATAGTGCAAAAGGAACCACCGCGGAAGAAGCTCAGTATTGACGATGGCGAGCGTTATTTTCAAGCGTACGCTAGCGTGGACACGGAGACATATTCGAAAGAAAAGGTACCCTCTAGAGGTCATTTGACATTCATTATATTTTTGTTTGCATGCGAACGTGTTCGTCTAAGTATGCTTCAGAAGGGGTTGTTTTTTTCAATATCTAAGTATCAGTGTAACTTATGGCACGCACACACCAGAAAGCGCACGAGGATGACTTCATCGTGAACTTCACGAGGGCCCTGGCGCAATGGGAACCACACCTTGAACTGGTCGATAAAGGGGGTGGGGTTAACGCTACAAAAGACCTCAGCCGTATCATTAGGTCCTATGTCCAAGGTCCACAGCAAACAATCGCGGGTGTGTGTGCGTAGGTATAGCTCCATGACATACCCTCTGGACGGGTGCCCAGTGGTCCTGGCTCGTTCCTTGTGATGAGTTTATCGACGTCAGGCTGTCAGTACGTGCATGTGTGTGTGGATGTCAGCCACGCACTTCATCTAAGCTGCGCTATACGGCCCTTGCAGTTGATCCTCCATCGCATATGTACTGTATTGATAATTATTTGTATTCGATACACTGATTGATATGTTGAAATATCATTGCGACGGACAATAGGGACGCAGTGTAGTGGGGCCATTTGTGGACTGGTTGTGGGACATATGAGAGTTATACATTCTGTGAAACATGCAAACACATATCTCTCTTGGCCATGCGTATCAATGCATGGCAAATAATTCCGTTGTGTTGTTTGCCTATCTCTTTATGGAAGGATGTGTAAAGCACATGTGTGTATTCTGTGGCAACATTACTATAGCTATACGAGTCACATACACGTTCGTATTGCAGTAAACAGGTGAAAGCATATGTTACTAGACATTTCCTTGTACCCCGATACAATTCCAGCTAACACTTGTTATATCCCTGCTCTGGGTTTCCATTGACGGCCCGTGCGCTACCAGGCGTAGATACGATCATGTTCGATTACAAAGAATCGCTACAGGAGTTGTTACGGCATTTCTGGGCGTGTATGCCCTGCGCAACCGCAGCCGCAGCCAAACGCGCAACCAAAATCATGGCCAGGTCAGTGCACACTCCGTTTCCGCTATGTCTTTTGCGGTTGCAAACATATCCGCCAGTGCATTTATTCCTCCGCAATAACTGATACCTACTAGAGATAGACGTGTGAGCATACCATCGCATCTATACCCCACCTTTGCGCTCGATCCCTGTGCTTGAACGCTATTGGTTAGTGCACATTAGTACGTCCGCCATGTCCTTTCATTGCACACCTTTGCGCGGCTGTTCAGTCGTCGTTGTTTGCGTCTGTATGTTTGCGTACTGCGTACCCACATATATCTGCTGCGTGTGCACCTCTCTTTGGACAGGCTTTTATGACGAATCCTGCAGTGTTACCGTTTGCAACTCTTATCGATTTAACTCAATCTCACGTCCTTGGTATACATAGGTTGGGTGATATGAGAAATGAGTTTGACACAGAACTGGCAAAGCGCAATCCGGAACTTCGAAAGGTTAGTCAATGTTGTCATCGCCATAGAATACATCTGCTTCATCGTCAACGCTGCCACATACAGCTCTTTCTGCTACGCTTCCGTTGCGTGATCTTTAATGACGTGATGCTTAATCGTAGGTATTTTCACCCCGTATATTGCGATAGGTATTTGCACCTCTGAAGGAAAGTATTCGCGTGGCCGAGAGAAGCTACGAGGTGGCCAAGGCAGACAGTGCAGTTGCTAACAATGCATGATAAACACGTGTATATATATAACAAGTACGCATCTGCTATTAGAGAGCAGATAAGAGGTGGCCAAGGCAGACAGCCCAGTTGCTGACAATACATGATAAACACATGTATATATATAACAAGTGCGCATCTGCTATTAGAGAGCAGATAAGAGGTGGCCAAGGCAGACGACGCAGTTGCTGCCAATGCATGACTAACATATATATATAATACCACGTGTAGGGTTCATTGGCTTATTTATAGTTGATAGCTGCTCTACACTAATAGTAATTGACATTACTTCTTTACGAAAGGCATTTCAGCGTCGATTGCTTCGACCGTAGCGAAATAGCTTTACTAAACTTTCTTCTTTAGCTATCCCTTTGCATTTATGCTCAATACACTACGTGAGCAGCTGATGTATATGCAATACTCGGTAGTTTTATGTTGCAGACGCAATCTATTGTACAAAGCTAGGCAATGTACTGCCTCGATCCACTCGAAATCGGTCGTAGTCAATTCTTGCAGTCGAGCAGAATAAATATTCTCATCCAGATCTGTTTATGAAACGGCCTCGACATACTGTACGTTTGTACTAGACAAACCTCTACCTGCGTCTATTTAGCCATACGGTAAGTAATCTTAGAGAACAGCTAGAAAAGTCCGGATCAATAATCTGATCGAAATAGAACTATTTGAAACTTGCCGAGTAAGTTATCCATAGCCTCTGTAGTTGGTCTACTTCACGTACGGGTCACTTCACCTAGAATAATTTCAAGGCTGTGAACGGCTAATGGACATACATACAATAGAAGACCGTTGCGAAAGTAGCAATAGCTACGCAAAAGGGGTTGGCTATTAACTAGTTATAGTGATACTCCTTTACTAATAGAAGACACTGACCAGCCCAGATTCCCGCAGCTGTGTATTTTCGACGACTTCAGGCTTGTTCTATTAGTTTACTGGCAAGTTGAGTAACAGTTGGAGAAGTATAACAAGGAATGAAAGATATAAATTTGTTATAAGAGTCAGAAATGAATCGTAATATAAGATACTCTTCATATATTTACGTCTCTTGACAACCCACTATTTTGAGACTCGAGCAATGAAAGGGACCGTTATATATTCTATTTATTCACGTTTATTCCTTAACTGTAAACCAGAACCTGAAAATACTCCAAACCAAAAAGTTAGAACAAATTCTGGTCTCGTTTTAAAACCTTCCAATCTCTATTTGATATGAGAGTGAAATTTTCGGGCCGCAACAGAGCGAGCCGAGCCCTTGTTCTCCGGGTTCGCTCATGCGACACGACCGGTATACTTCGACTCGACACCTGTCATAATTTAGTTACCAACATGTCCGTTAATGAAATTTCCGGGCCACAATTTTGCGAGCCGAGCCCTTGTTTCGCCGGTTTCGCTGATGCGATCGGGGTACTTGGACTCGACACCTGTCCTAACTCACTTATGAACAGGTCCGTTTGATTTTGCTATCAAATTAAAGTAGGATATAGAGGGCTATTTCTAGAGTTTAGAAAACCCAGTTGACGAGGTTCACTTTTCTAAAACGACAAATTTGGGAACGTAGAGATGGCAGGGATGATTTTTGCCCCATCGAGTCTTGGAGTCGACTGAAAACGAACGCCTTGAAAGCGGCTCAAATAGAACCTCATCTAAGCCCTAGCAGCATAGCCAGTGCCATCAGTGAAAGTCTTTAAATCTTGCAATCTTCTTCAGCTGAACAATATTGTCCTCACCGACTGCGTCTGTCCTGTCGCATCTCTACGAGCTCTGTCGTCCGATTTGCATCCGCTGGCTGATCGGCTGCGCTGTCAGATCGACTGCGCTGGCAGATCGGCATACCAAGGGATAAATCAACATGGGCTGCATCCTAATGTGTCGTAACTGAGTCAAAGGCTATTCCCATCTTCAGCAAGCAAATCCGGTGTCGACAGTTACCGACAAAGCGATAGGTTGATTCAGCGGTTCAATGTTCTTTTTAATATTTCAGAAGCAAAACTCGCAGTCGTGAGTCGGTACATACTCGGTATTCGGTACCGATAACAAAAAGAAACTGGTGGGTATAACATACTCGAGAGAGAAAGCAGATATTTGTTTTAGAGATCGTACTATAGTTCATAGTACATATTAAGGAAACTATTACTGTAGGACAGTAGGATTTTAAAAATCACTGAGGTAGCCAGTAGCCACCCAGGTAGGTTCTCAAAGACTATATAATGTCCATACTTTCATAGGCTGTGTTCAAAAAAAAAACCAAAAGCAACAAAGAATAAACTGAAATATGGGCATTGACTAGGTAGGTCACCGTTCTGAGTCAGGCTCGCCGGGTGAACAAATGGCGGTCTCTCCTGTCCAAAACCATAGCCGCCGGAAACACGGTTGTCTCTTATCAGAACAAGATGGTTTTTACCGTTGATATGGCTTGTGATTATAAAAACCAATCTGTTTCATCTAACTACCAGAAACTATTTGCCGACAGATATTGTCCCTTATGTCACATCGGATGCATTGAGACATTCTCCTTCGACTTATATTTGTCGACGTCGGAATCATTTGGTGCGGATGTGAATAGCCCTTGGATACATTACGACGCATTTGGATGCATATGAGACTTTCTCCTTAAACTTATAATTGTCGACGTCGGAATCATTTGGTGCGGATGTGAATAGCCCTTGGATTAATTACGACGCATTTGGATGCAGCTGAGACTTTCTCCTTAAACTTATAATTGTCGACGTCGGAATCATTTGATGCGGATGTGCATAGCCCTTGTGCTAATTACGACGC